TAGAATATTTTTATCAAATCATCAAATCAAAATTAGCATACTTGCAGAATTAAGTGGGAAGCATTTCCTGCTCATCAACTTTAATCCGCCAGTATCCTTTGTCCTTGTTCCGCCGATAAGAAAAAGGGGTGGCAAATATGGTGAATTTAGTTATGTGCACTGAAGTAAAACTATCTTTGACAACAGAAGCAAGTGTTAATCTCCTTTTCAAAGCTAACAATTCTTCTAGCTTTACAATAGTGGTTTTGAATCTGGAGGGTTTATATACATGGATGCAGCAGTATGGTTTCAGTACAGCTGTATTTGGCTGCAATGACTACAGTAATGCATTCTCTTGATTACAATATTGACACTATTTTTTAAATCCCGACATGATAGTAGTACTACAATATAAGGACTGACATTTCTGATACCCTTCTGGAGATACTAGCTGACTGTTTCTTTTTTTTCCAATTAAAATTAGATGCGGGTTAAATGTCCTTATATTGTTCTGGGTTAGTGGCTGAACATTTTTAGGAAATGATAGCTATACAACAAGCCTCAAGAGGAGAGATCAGACATGACAGGACCCTCCGTCTAGGAAAGCTCGCAAGACCTGGAGTTTTGACTTACAACTCCAACTATAGCCAGAAGACTGGGATCACATTTACGACCATATACACAAAGGGTCCATATGTGTCTCCACACAAGAGAACAATTTTAAACTATATTCTAGATGGTACAGAGTTCCGTCCCTACTTCACAAATTTGACCCCAACATCTCAGATTCGTGTTGGAGATGTTACCAGGCGACGGATACATTCTTGTTTATCTAGTGGGACTGCCCATTGCTGCAACCTTTCTGGAGGGAAATCCAACCATTAATCACGCAAGTAAATACGTACTCCTTAGACCTCTCCCCCGCACAATTCTTACTCCACCACTCCACACTTCCATTTAGGACATACCGTAAATCACTCGCCATGCACATGGTAAATGCAGCAAAACAATGTATCCCAGTCCACTGGCGCTCAACACATGTTCCCACTATTCGAGAATAGTTTGCTAGGATCAACAAAATGGAGGAAATGGAGGAACTGATTTTGTAGCAAAAAAAGATCTGGCACTGTTGGGAGTTGTCCCACGAGAATATTCAAACAAAATGGAGGAAATGGAGGAACTGATTTTTGTAGCAAAAGACCATCTCGAGAGATTCCGGAAGACATGGGCTTGTTGGAGTAATTTCAAAACCACCACTACCTATCACCTATTATTGCAGGAACAGCCTACACCCCCTGATTAAATAATTGGACACAATGTTATCTCAAAAGACACCCTATCCACCAGTGACGCATTTAAGGCACATTTAAATGGATTGAGACTCAACATTATAACCTACCTTTCAGGTTCTCGACCCACATATTGCCCCATTAAATGATCTTGCACATATTAAATCCTAAGCTATATAGCCATCTTTCTGGCTCGTATAAAACAATATGATTTATTTTATCTGCAGCTACCCATTCTAACAGCCCCTCTACTCCTTACCCATTCTCCCCCCCCCCCCTTTTTTTTTACCTCATATTCCCCCCTACTACCTCACTCTACATCTCTCTTCTTCTCTATCTATTCACCTCTCTGATTTTTTTTTTTTGATCTCACACCTTCTGCATGCTTTCATCATTCATATCCCCAACTATGAAGTTTTAGGTGTAACTAACTTCACGTGGATCACACGCTCCCGAAATGGGCACACAAATCAAAACGCACACATCACCATGTGCTATTCTTCCCCAGCACTTCACATTCCCTGAACATTAGGGCTTACAAGTAGATAGGTTAGTAATTACTATACCTATAACAATGTATCTATTACACTCTTTGTATCGGCTGGCTTGCTATACACCTTTGATATAAAGATATACCTCACCTCGATTTGTACTACAATTCAAACCCATAGCCCGTCTGTGAAATGGGATGCTGCATATTGTGTCTATGTTCAGACTGTAATCCATATTTGTATGTACATGGATCTGCCTTAATTTTCTCAATAAAAATTACTTTTGGAAAAAAAATAAAAAATACATGGTAGCCTCGTCATGACATATTTCCTTTTAGACTTAATAAAAAAAAAATACTCTGCCACCTTTGCCCATTCAGGGATCAGGCAAAAGTGAGGGTCTCTCTAAAGCAGGGGTCCTTAACCTTGAATGCATGGACCCCTATGTGGTCCATGAATGGGTTTCATGGGGTCTCTAAGGGTCAGATTAAAAAAAAAAAAATTACATTCATTATACTATTTGCTATATCCATTGAGCTAGCCAAGTTCTTGTGACCTGCACCTGAAGCATTGGACTTCCCAAGAGATTGTTTTAGGAGCTTGGAGCAGTACAGTTTTTCTTTTGATGTGCTGTAGAGATAACTTATACAGAAAGTGTAAGATAGATCATAAGTACATGTATAGCATATTCCATATGAGGCCCTTTGTTCCATTTGTTTAGAGATCCTATATTACACCTTGTGAACACACTGCTGTGCAGGGACAAATTAAATGTCACTATGTGACACTTCAAATACAGTTCGAGAAAAAAGAAAAAAAGTAAGCCAGGCAATTTGCAACACACTGGTGTGCAGTGACATAAATTAAATGTCACTATGTGACACTTAAATACAATTCAAGAAAAAAAGAAAAAAGTAAGCAGTGCAATCTGCTGAAGCAAGCATCACACTGCTCCCTGCCAGAGTTGTTGCTGCTACACACTGTAAAACATTGCGTTTTACTGTATGGGCTAGTGTGAATGCAGCCTAAAAGGTGGTTGTTCAGTGGGCCTTAAATAGACCCTTCATTTGTGCATTGTAAAGTAAGAAATTACTGCTAATAACATTTGTTTGAAGTGTTAAGGGACATTTTTTGCGCTAATTATAGGTAATATAATTAACTTCCTAAAAAAGTTCATAGTATCCTACCAAATTAACTACTAACTGGTTCCCTGTCACCCTATAGCAGAACTACTACTACAGGGCAGCCCGGCTGTGCAAAATCAAGTAGATATGTACATGGTTTTGCGCCCCCTACCCGCGCTGCCATTGGCGGCTACAAATGTTGATCACCAGGTACCAGACGGAGATTCCCTGCTGGCACCAGGCAATTGCCAAGGAACAGTGAAAGGGGAGGGGTCTGTGTGTAAACAACACAGATCTCACCCTTGTAAGAACTGACATGCTGTTTTGTGTTGCTCTGCAAAACACACAGCACACACAGTAAAACAGCACACAGTTAACCCTTTGATCACCCCATATGTTAACCCCTTCCTGCCCAGGGTCATTAGTACAGTGTCAGTGCTTTTTATTAGCACTGATCGCGGAATTAGTGTTATTGGAATGTCAGTGACAATTAGTCAGTTCTCACCCAGTGTCAGAATGCTAACCACAGTCCCGCATTCTCGCTATAAGATGCTGATCCCCACCATTGCTAGTATAAAAAATTTAGCAGATGCTAAAACTTTCACGTAAACCAATTAATTTACATGTATTGGGATTTTTTTTTTAGCAAAGACATGTAGCAGATTACATTTTGTCTTAAATTTATGACATTTGATTTTTTAATTTTTGTACTGGACCTGTTTTATAGCAAAAACTCAAAAATATTGTTTTTTTTTTTTCTTCAAAATTGATCAAAAATACAAAATGCAGAGGCAATCAAATATCACCGAAAGAAAGCTGTATTTTTGGGGAAAAAAAGGAAATTTAATTTGGGTGCATCATTGCAAGACCGCGCAATTGTCAGTTAAAGTAAAGCAGTGCCGTTTCACATAAAAAGGCCTGGTCAGGATGGGGGGGTAAATCCTCTGGAGGGCAACCCATTCACGCTGGCCACACGCAAATGTGCGGCCTACTGGCGTCTGGGCCTAGATGTAACAAAAAATATATGTTCTGAGAGCGCACGACCTGCGTGCTCCCAGCACACATGTGAGGTACTCACAGAAAGGTCCCGGTCTGCTCTTTCGATCGGGACCTTTCCTGATCATGTGACCGGCCGTGACGTGACGTCACGGCGGCCACATGACACTAAGCCACGCCCCGTCCACCTCCCGGCGCAGGAACTCTTCTTCACACTGGGACGATTCGGCATGAAGGGGTTAAATAGTAACTATTGCTATTAAAGTAACTAGAGCTTGAGAACAGGGCAAAACAATTAATATACATATAACACATATATAACCAAACAGCTGAAAAATAAACTCAAGAATATTATGTGATGCAACTTGCACTGCATTTATTCTGAAATGTGCATATATATATATATATATATATATATAATATATAAAGAGTAGGTTCCTCTTCACAATTTTTCAACCAGCATTTCCTGTCTACCAAACACCTGTTATTGTTAACATTAAATAGAATGTGCTGTACATTTTTATGGGTCCTACAAACGAAAACAATAGAAACAAGTCAAGAAGATGAAATAGCTCATCAAGGCTTGCAATCTAAGGGTCTGGTTATTATTTCTGCATTGTGGTTGTATTGTAATGCAGTTCTTGTACTGCACAATGCATCACTCCATATCTAATAGTGGCATAGTCTTACCCAGTTCTACCTAGCTTTTTTTTTTTAATCCACTATAATAAACATTGCAAGGATTAGCAGACATTATAACAAATTCCTACTTGATGCCAGCCTAGAGAAAATATAGTGAGGTTATCAATTGGTTAATTTTGTATTTTAAAATAGTCCAATGTTCCTTATGATCACTCTGGTACACCGTTCATTTTCCCTGAGCTTGACTAAAATAACCACACTTACAACACAGATACTTTTAACTGCGTTGATACAACGTTGCGTTGATACTTTATTATTTAAGTATCGGCCACAGCTTGATATGTATGAATAATGAACAATCAACCAATAAAACATATCTAACACCAAATCCCTTTTAGCAGTGCTGAGTGGTGTATCTCCACTTTTCTTCCTTAGTAGGAGCAGATTCAGCCCCCAGCCGTCCAGGTTAGGCTCAGAGCAGGGGCGAACTGAACATTTGGAAACTCAGGTACCGCCCGAGGGCCTGGGGTCAGTAGGGGGCCCCATGAAATGCCCCTGGTACCTTTTTCATAGGCTTTTTTGAGTTTGGCAAGGACACAGAGGCCCCATGATCTCCTATTGCCCGGGGGCCCCATGAGTTGTCAGTCCGCCCCTGGCTCAGAGGCTTACTTGGGCTTCCTGCTACCAATTCCACCGCCTCTACCAGCCACCTGCCACCTCAGCCTGCAAAAGGGATGAATGCCAGCTGTGACAAAAATATCACGTGAGAACAAATATACAGGACTGGAACCAATAATATCAAGGTGTCACTGAATTAAGCACTTTGTAGTTATTTATTCATTGTCCTGCAAGAAAAAACTGCACGTCTTTTTTTTTTTCTTTTTAATTTATGTATGTATTCTTTGTTTTGTTTTTTTATTATTATTTATTAATATATAAATTTTCTTATTTCGCTATAAAAGTCATAAGCAAAGCCATAACAACAAAACCCAAGAACAAAAAGTTGGGGAGGGAGGGTGGGGACTTCTTTCTCTGTGGAAGGGCGCCAACTGAGTAACTGATATGTCACGGGACTCAAGGTGATGCAGGAGTCCTCTCCTTTTTCTTCCTCCTTCCAATAATCTGCCATCACAATCCAAATCACGCCCCCTCCTGTCCCTCTGTCAACACTTAACCCCTTTATTACCCTACAGACTAGTCTGACGGGACCGTCCCCAGTCATGATGCCTGCTGTGTTTATAAAACAGGGCATTGCTTTACAGTGCATGTAGGTGGCATCAGAAATATCAGTGTCAGATACTACGTGAATGACAATGCATTGTGGTTAACTAACTATTCATTTTATATCTGATAAATCCATCAAATATGCTACTATGCTGTACATGAGAAGAAATGTACACTCACTCTTTTCTCAGTTTGCCCTCATAGCTTGCAAAGTTCATCAGTACAGAGACCACCCATATATTTGATTCCACTATTGATGGCTTAATTTCGAGAAGCATTATGTATTTTATGTATACTTTTGTTCATATACCAATCTTGATTCTAATTCTGCTTTGACAAAAGATGGAAACCATTTTCTGAAGAATTATTTTAAACGTGAATAGTAGATATTCCCTTAAAATTGCAGTAAAAAATATAGTGGCATACTGGTGAAGTCATCTAGTAATTGCTTTTTCTTTTTCTTTGCTAAGCTTGCTGCAATGAAATACACATCACTAAGTTTATAATGGAACTATACTCACTTCAGCTCTGGCAATGTGGCATCCTGGAGCTCCCCACCCAGCTACTGACATCATCTTGCAGCTGGCTTCCAGGTACTGGATGCTGACCATTTTCATTGGCCTGATCAATATAACGTCCCTCCCGAGCAGGGGTGGACTGACAATTCATGGGGCCCCCGGGCAATAGGGGATCATGGGGCCCGTGTCCTTGCCCACAATCAAAGCACACCCAAAAAAAGCCTATAAAAAAAAGGTACCAGGGGCATTTCTTGGGGCCCCCTATTGACCCTGGACACTCGGGCAGTGCCCGAGTGCTCGAATGATCAGTCCGCCCCTGCTCCCGAGCATGCGTGGTAATGCACTCAGATTTGTCATTGTCAAATTTGTGCAGTGAGCTGTGCGTGTGCAGCTTACTGTATAGGGGCAGACAGGCAGGTGCATCATTTTAATGCAGAAGAGACAAATCATGTCTCTCTGCATTAAAAATCCTGCCTGTTTGCCCATTTTGGTTTTGTTCATACTGGTCCACTTTAACTGCCAGAAGTTGTGATGTGTCATATTAACAAAGCAGAAGAACCTGTTTCAGGTCTATCAGATCCACCTGCGCCAGTTTCTAATTTAGAGTTAACTAAAGCTACGTTCACACTAGCTTTGTTAGCAGGTGTCAGGCAGGCATTTGGGGAGCGTTTTTAACGCTTCTCAAACGCCTATGAAAATTCTGCACATGGCAGCACGCAGTGCTGTTCACACTGAAGCGTTAGTGTTCTGTCACAGCAAAACTGATGCCTCATGACGAGTCAGGAGGAGTTGAAGCTTCTCATTCAAGGTTTATGGTGACGCTCCTCAAATGCCTGGCAGGAGTTTGCGAGGCATTTGCGGAGTGTAAAAAACCATTAAACTTCATTATAGGCATTTGTGCGTTTTTAACGCTTGAAATACACTTATCAACCATTTCAAAAATGCGCATAGGGCATTTGGGGAGAGTTTGAGGAGCGTTAAAAATGCCTTCCAAATGCCTGAATAAGGCCTGTCAAAAGCTATAGGGGCTTTTAGCAAGAGTTAGAAATAAGTCAAGTGTGAACGAGCCCTAAAAACTAGCACAAGTTTGCACTTGGTTAACAAAGGGAATATGGTGGTTTTCCATATAGAAAACTTCCACAGATTCCAGCCAGGTGGGACCTTGTCGAAAGGGATTTGAGCTGTAAGTAAACAACTCATATGTGTCTGTGCAGCGATTTCACTACATGAGCAGAGCTTGAAGGGTTACCACCCTCCTCCTTCCTCCGCTCTGAGCTGAGCAGGGGGTGGAGACAGCAGAGATTCTTGTTAATTGGGAGCAGCATCTGCTCCATGTTTAGAAGAGTCGTGCAAGTAATGCGTTTGCACAGCTCTTTGTTAACTGCCCCCAGTGTGTCTACTGAGCTGAAATGCAATGTGTTTGATTTGCCCTTTTAAAAAAAGGCTTCAGTGCTCTCTGCAATTTGTGATTAGACCATAACATGTGACTTGCCTATTGCATAGATTATTAGGCAAGTCCTTAAAGGAGAAGTACAGGCAAAGCTCTTTAGGCTGTACTTTTCCTGTGGATCACAGGAGTGCAGTTGGCTCTGCACTCCTGTGACCCGTTTTCAGCTGACAGCAGGCTGAAGCCCACTGTTGGCTGATGTCATTCAGCCAGTCAAGGCTGGGGAAAGATCCTGACTTCAAAATCAGGATCCACGCCAGAGTCTGGGGTGGCACCTGGCTCAGCCTCTCAGTGATCTGCTGAGAGCCTGAGCCAGCTGCTCCCTTCCCCTTCACAGCCCAGTGATCCAGTGAGCACGGGGGGGGGGGGGCAAAGCAGAGAGCAGTGACTAACAGTCCTGCTGTCTGCTCAGAGCGGCTGTGAGAACTCAATGATCACTGAGTTCTCACCCATAGAGCCAGTAGAGGACTGATGCTGCATCCACTTAGGTAAGTAATGGGCAAAAAAAAAGATCCATACTTCTCTTTTAACCGCCTCCCGCCCGCCATATAAGGAAATGACGAACAGGCGTTGGCTCTCTCGTTCTGGGAGGATGTCTTATGACGTCCTCCCACTCTAACTGCATGTGCACGTCCCCCGGGGGCACGCAGCGCAATGATCGGTGGTGCACAGTGTCAGTGGATCACTGATCAGTGGAAAGAGCTGATGACATCAGGTGTGTCCAATCGCAAGTAAATAAGGAAATGCTGGTTATCGGCATTCCTATCCTCCCGCTGACAGCTCATGAGGAGAGGAGAACCGGTAATCGGCATTCCTCAGAGGGGACATGTACACTGATCATCAGGGCACTGATGATCAGTGTAGCCCCATCAGAGCCACCTGTCAGTGTCCATCAATGCCACCTGTCAATGCCACATCAATGCCACATATCAGGGCCTACCAGTGCACATCAATGCCACATATCAGTGCCCATCTGAGCTGCCTTTCAGTTCCAACTATCAGTGCTGCCTATCAGTGCCAGTCAGTCAGCCAGTCAGCGCCGCCTATCAGTGCCAGTCAGTGCCGCCTATCAGTGCTAGTCAGTGCTGCCTATGAGTGCTGCTTTTCAGTGCCCATCAGTGCCGCCTGTCAATGTCAATCAGTGCCACCTACCAGTACCTCCTCATCAGTGCTGCCTATCAGTGCCCATTACTGCAACCTATCAATGTCCATTACTGCAGCTTCATTAACACACATCAGTGAAGGAGAAAAATCACTTGTTTACAAAATTTTATAACAAACTAAGAAAAAGCATTTTTTTTTTTACATTTTCAGTTGTTTTTGGTTTGTTCAGCAAAAAATAAAAAAACCTAGAGGTGATTAAATACCATAAAAAGAAAGCTCTATCTGTCTCAAAAAAATTATAAAAATTTCATATGAGCACAATGTTGGATGACCACGCAATTGTCAAAGTGCGATAGCGCTGAAAGCTAAAAATTGGCATGGGCAAGAAGAGGGTAAAAGTGCCCAGTAGGCAAGTGGTTAAAGAGAGAACCTGAAAAGAGAAACAGAGACAAAACTCAGACTGTAAGTTCATGCAGAATCCCCTCATTGAGAAATGCCATGAGGACTGTACAATGTATGAAAGTTCCTATTTTGAGAATATACAATGTTTGATGGTTCCTGCTATTCAATAGATGGATTTTCAAATACAATACTGTGTGGATTATTCTCTATGACAACTGACATACAGTATTTTTCACTTGGGACTGCAGTATTTGTCCACAAGACCCAACTGAGAGGAGGCAGTGGTGCTTATTACAGATTCTGTCCTGTCCTCACAGAAAAAGTGAAGTCTCTGCTCCTTAATACCACAGAAATGGAGCCACAACACATCACTATCCTGCAGAGGGTGTTAAACTAGAGCTATACTGGGCCATACCATAAGGCAAATTTCTATTACCCAACTTGAACAGCAAAGTGGAGCCAATCGCTCTTCACCCTACAGACTGGTTTAGAATGCTAGGTCTCATGGGAAAGTTAAGGTATTAAATTGCACTGTTCAACAAGCTAGGGCAGTATAAGCTTAGCCAATTATATCCTAATTAAACATAGGGTCTGTGGGCCAAAATCAGACATGCAATTACATTCCCCCTAGCTTGCTAAAAAGTCACTTGTTCTTGACTAAAAGTGGAAATGTCAAAATATTGCAATGCACACAGGAAAAAAAATTAAATTGACTACTGATCTGCACTGTCTGTTTCTTGCATGATCTGGAAGCACTACTAAGAATCTCACATCAGGGCAAAGAAGGAAACATGAAAAATGAGAGCTTCTTCTTAGGGCTAGGGGCAAGAAAGCTCATAAGGTGAGGCTGAAAGTATGAAACATGTAAGGCGGGTTGGTTTTGGAATGAAGTCATCCCACATGGAGAGTCTGTCTGCTTGCAGCTTGTTGTGTGGCTGGACCCAACAGTACTGAATACATGCAACATAAACCTAATATAACCTAACATAGCATCGGGGCAAGACACATCCACATGTAAGTGCATTTTCCTTTTAATGGTTCAAATGAATAAAATTATTTAGCACTATGCAGCACCTGCTTTCCTCTGTGCATGGTCTTAAGGAAAGAGAACGTGGTTTTGAGAAGGCATGTCGATGGGGTTAACCCATTATCGGCTGGATTAAGCAAATTGTTATTGGGATACAAAGCTAAAGTTTTCTGCTGAATAGTGTTTGGTGTGTAATTAATGTCTGTGGTGGAGGAGGTCACAATGTGGTCACACAAATGGAAGATCTCTTTTGGAACATCTGGTTGAACTTTGCTTGCACATGGATTTTGTTGTGCCTGAGCTTGTTTAAATGCATGGGGCACTTTATTGGAATGCACTGGAAACCTTATTGGATATATTATTTGATTGAACAGGACACTTTAATATATGAAATTACAGCACTGGATGCTTTATGGTTATTTTCATGCAAGGTTTTTATTTTTAGCAAGGTATTTGTAATATTGAAACATTGTTTTTCATTTGGGGGGGGGCACTTTATGAATTGGACTATTTGTTTTTTTTGTAGCTTGCACAAATTTCAGGAAATTTTATTCTGTACTATATTGTTGAGTATTGCTAAAAGGGGACAGCACAGTCCCCATTTATGGATTATATTTTGAGAGTGTTTTAGCTTTTTAGTGACAGCAACTTTCCCTTTTCCAGATATTTTTTTTTTCTTAAGTAGCACAGACTATTGGCTGGTATCTAGCTCAAAAGGTAGTAGTTTTGGGGACAATACAGTCTTCAAATAAATCTTTACTGGAGAGCAAGGGGGTGTGCAAGCAATGCTTCTGGACATGAAGGAAGTCCACATGGCAGTCTTTTCTTGGAAAGTATAACAGTCTCTCTACTTTAAAAGACACTAACGTTACAACTTCTTACAAAAAACAAAACATAAAATCACTCAAAAATAGATTTTTTTTTAAACATCTAGCTTATCTAGATTGAAAATCTTAGGTAAATGCACATGAAGGTTTATTGAAGACAATAGTCAAACTGGATTTGCTTTCCAGTTAATTCATAGGCAAATTCTGCCAACTGTCAATTAGCAGTTTCCAATTAGTCTAAAATTCCAGCCAACACAAACTGATAGCCTACACAGCAAAAGATATACAAATATCAAATATTTTCTGAACACAACAACACACTTGGTTGTGGATATTATTAGTTGTACTACAACAAAATGTCTTTTTTTCTTTTTTGAGGTTTAGTGGCCCGTGGAGGATCTAATGAACATGAGCTATCGGAACATGTGTTCATTTAATGTGTAAACCTATAGTAGAATTACGCTTTTTTATGGCCATTGACTTTCACCCTAATTCTCCCTGTATTTCTTCTACTCTGTACAATGTGTTCCCTCAATATTCATTTCAGTATTATTGTTTTACTGGGAGAAGTTTGTCAAGAATAAAAGGCAGCCTGGAACTTGCTTTGGGACTGGGAAGATAGAAAAAAATATGCTGCCGTACTTTGACAAGCTGTTCCTTTTTATAGGATGTGTTTCTGTTTTCCCCAGATATGAGCAACAGCAATAAAAATGGCATACAATTGTAGAATGGACAGACAGGAAATGAAGAGGAGAATATCAGTCAAAGGGCTTGCACTCATTTGACAGCACATCATACAATAAACCAGAAATGTCTCATATAGGCTAAACTAAGCATGCACATTTTCATCTGAAGATCGAGATACAATGTTTTTTTCTGTCTTTTCAGAAAGATATTTGTTAAAAATGTCATATTAAAATGATAATGCATGAGAAACATTTCTGGATTTAATCACAACATTGTAAAGAAGCTTAAAGTTTTATTATAATTATATACTATACATTAGCAGCATTTTGGTCAAAAATGTACTTTGTCATAATAAAGAAAAAAACAATAATGCTACAATAGATCACAACCGTGGGCATACTAAACCTCATGGAGCCCCAAAGAAAACTTTTTATGAGGTCCCTTTGCCAAAAAGAAAAACATAGGCCCTGAGATGCTGCATATATTATTTTCAACCATAACAAATTTTGTTTTTAATGCCCCCTGATACACTGATAGCCAGTAGGATGAAGAAGATTTTAGTTAAATTGATGGTTCGTGTGAGGAACAAACTCACTTTACATAGGTGGTCAGTAGAAGGAATAATGTTCCTTTATGTGTGTGATCAGTAGGAAGAGGAATGAACTTTACAACAAGAAGAATGCCCCCATATGTGGGTGGTCAGTAGAAGCAGGTAGGCTGGCAGGGCAACAGGATAAGTATGCAGAGCAGAGACTAAATACTCACATTTATTGAATGAAAAAAATGTACCGATTCCCCCATCACCACACTCAGTGCTGATAAGGGAATCCTTCCCGCAGTGCTATTGTGTTCTGCCAGTGAGGAACCTTCCCATTGGCAGAATTCAATAACCAATGTTGCCAGCTACAAATTATTTGGGAAAAAACTGACAGGCTGGTTGATTGATAGAATAGACTTGGATACAACCAACCTGCCCATACATTGATTGTAGCCTGGATGGTTGCTCCTAAACAGGCCAAATTTTGATCAAAGTATTGCCAGATCTACTCACTTTGTTGACATTTTTGGCAGTGATTCGCTCCAAGATACATTGTATGAAATGGATATATACTGTAGTTACTTTATCTCCCAAAGTTAGAAGATGGCAATCACTGTTTTACTGATTATGGTTACTTCTATAGTGTGCCATGGCAGTTATTTGGATATAATGAACATATGCCTGTTGTGCTGATGCTTGCACTGCTGGTCACTTGAATATAAGTAACCCTTTTCCTGTTACCAACATATCACATGCTGTACATCGGCAGCAGTGATGGGTTTTCCACAATTTTCAAGCTGCTGTAGCATTATTATTATTATTATTAATACAGGATTTATATAGCGCCAACGGTTTGCTAAGCGCTTTACATTACAGTGGGAGACAATACAGTTCAATACAAGAGGGATTTGAGGGCCCTGCTCCTTGGAGCTTACAATCTAGAAGGGAGGGGTGAATGGTACAATAGGTAATAACTGTGGGAGATGGAGTGGCTGGAAGAGTAGAGGATTTCAGTATTAGCAGAGGGCGGGATAGGCTTCCCTGAAGAGATAAGTTTTCAGTGATTGCCTAAAAATAAGAAGAGAAGGCGATAGTCTGATAGATTGGGGTAGGGAGTTCCAGAGGATGGGTGACACCCTGGAGAAGTCTTGGAGATGAGCATGGGAGGAGAGGATGAAGGAGCTAGAGAGAAGGAGGTCTTGCGAGGAGCGGAGAGTACGGTTTGGGTGATATTTAGAGACAAGATTGGTTATGTAAATTGGGGCAGTGTTGTGGATGGCTTTATATGTCATTGTAAGTATTTTATACATTGGGCAACTGGGAGCCAGTGGAGGATTGGCAGAGGGGGGTGGCAGATACAGAACGGTTAGTAAGATGGATAAGTCTAGCAGCAGCATTCATGATAGACTG